TCTGCCCGCGTGGCCGGGAACTCGGCCAGAACCTCCCCCAGGGCCTCCTTGGACAGGCAGAAGAGGTCGGAGTACCCGATGCTCAGGATGTTGGCCGTGCGCCGGTTCCCCGACGTGTTCCCTGGGGATGGGGGAGCTGTGAGCACAGCGGGGGGCACGAGGGGACACGGGGCTGGGCACCAAGGGCTGGGCACCAACAGCTGGACACCAAGGGCTGGGCACCAGTGACTGGACAGCACCAAATGAACAGCACCAAATGGACACCACCAAATGGACACCACCAAACAGACACCAATGACTGGACACCAAGAACTGGACACCAATGACTGGACATCACCAACTGCATCCCAACAAATGGACACCCACTGGACACCAAGAACTGGACACCAATGACTGGACATCACCAACTGCATCCCAACAAATGGACACCCACAAATAGATACCAACGACTGGACACCAACGACTGGGCACCAACAGCTGGACACCGATGACTGGGCACCACAGACCTGACGCCAGTGACTGGACACCAATGACTGGGCACCACAGACCTGACGCCAGTGACTGGACATCACCAGCTGGACACCAATGACTGGGCACCAGTGACTGGACAGCACCAAATGGACAGCACCAAACAGACACCAATGACTGGACACCAAGAACTGGACACCAATGACTGGACATCACCAACTGCATCCCAACAAATGGACACCAACAAATAGATACCAACGACTGGACACCAAGGACTGGGCACCAACAGCTGGACACCAACAACCGGACACCAACAACCAGACACAAACAACTGGACACCAACTGGCCACCACCAGCTGGACACCAGTGGCCAGACACCAAGAGCTGGGCACCAAACCCAGGACACCAATGACTGGACCCCAACAACTGGCCACTGACTGGGCACCAGACACTTTGTCACCATCGACTCCTCCAGGACACCCACACGTGGCTTGGGAGATGATGCACATCCAGCTCTGTGAGCAGAACCGTGTCCGGATCCATGACCAGAACCATGTCCAGATCCATGACCCAAACCACATCCAGCTCCATGATCAGAACCACGTCCAACTCCATGACCAGAACCGTGTCCGGTTCCATGAGCAGCTCCACAGGAGGCAGCATCTCCACTCGTGGGGCTCTGAAAAAATGTCTGGAGAGGAGGGGTCACGGGTGGGAGTGACACTGGGAGTAACATGGAAATTAATCAGGAGATTAAAATCACTCAATGAAACGTGAGATATTTTCCTAAATCTAAAACTAAACAGATGCACCTATGAAATGTCTGAAATGAATGTTGGTGTTGGACGAGGGCAACTGAGGAACATCCAGAAACATTTCGCAGGAGTTATGGTAAATGCCATTGAAAAACCTCAAAACTCAGTTTTTGAAGGCAAAGCTCAGGGCAGTGCCTGGAAACCAGCGTGTCTGGTGGAGCCACCTTGGGCCCAGTGCTGGTTTTTCTCTTCTCCTGTTTGATGGAGTCACTGTCTTGCTAATTTTCCATGTTAAAAACCACGACTCATGCACGTGACCCCTCCTCTCCAGACACAGTTTTCTGGTGGAACTCGGAGTCCTGTGAGCGGAGCTGCTGCTCCCTGTGGAGCTGCTCATGGATCTGCATGTGGTTCTGCTGGTGGAGCTGGGAGAGCTGGATCTGGTTCTGCTCATGGGTCTGGGCACAGTTCTGTTCACAGAGCTGGACCTGGTTCTGGTCAGAGAGCTGGACATGGTTCTGTCCTTGGAGCTGGACATGGTTCTGTCCATGGAGCTGGACCTGGTTCTGGTCAGAGAGCTGGACATGGTTCTGTCCGTGGAGCTGGACCTGGTTCTGGTCAGAGAGCTGGACATGGTTCTGTCCGTGGAGCTGGACCTGGTTCTGTCCGTGGAGCTGGACCTGGTTCTGGTCAGAGAGCTGGACATGGTTCTGTCCGTGGAGCTGGACCTGGTTCTGGTCAGAGAGCTGGACATGGTTCTGTCCGTGGAGCTGGACCTGGTTCTGTTCGTGGAGCTGGACCTGGTTCTGGTCAGAGAGCTGGACATGGTTCTGTCCGTGGAGCTGGACCTGGTTCTGGTCAGAGAGCTGGACATGGTTCTGTCCGTGGAGCTGGACCTGGTTCTGGTCAGAGAGCTGGACATGGTTCTGTCCGTGGAGCTGGACCTGGTTCTGTCCGTGGAGCTGGACCTGGTTCTGGTCAGAGAGCTGGACCTGGTTCTGTCCGTGGAGCTGGACCTGGTTCTGTCCGTGGAGCTGGACACGGTTCTGTCCACGGATCCACCTCTGTCCACGCACGTCCTGCCGGGCAGGGAGCAGGTGTCCCAGCAGAGTCGGTGGTGACCAAGTGTCCGGTGGTGAGTTGGCCAGCTGTGAGTTGTCCCCAGCGCGTGGCTGTTGGCGGGTGACTGTTGGTGTCCAGTTGTCCTGGGCGGTCTGGGGGGGCCAGGAAAAGCAGAGCTCACCTTTGATGTTGATGAGGCTGATCTCC